GTGAAATTAATTGAAAGCATGGGGCCTACTTATATGATTGTGGAAAAATTCATCTTTCAGTCCTTGACATAGGGTGACTGAAACTCTTATTTCGAATTACTTCAATATACATATTTGCATGTTCGTACATTGTTTGTGTGTGCAGATATAAGAAATCAGGGTGATGTTGCCTAGTAATCTTGAGAAAGCATAATCATCTGTTCTCAGGCCACCAATACTTAATTACCCTTTCCCTTGGACCCAAAGATACTCATCGCTACGATTATACAATGCTGGATTGGATATGGGCATGGATTTATTCTGGAAACGTTTCTTTTTGACATCGTTTCAGCTCTATCGACAATCGCGCCTCTGTTCTACCTTCTGCAGTCACCCTCCGACCGTCCTCTTTCGGCCAATGTGGCCCGCTAGCCAGTTCCACGGCGGTTGGATGTGGGCGTCAAACGACTTCCAATCCAGCAACCTTTGGCGTCGGTGGTTTGCCGGCCGGAAGCGTAGCCGCTGCCCAAGCCGTAGGCACCGGAAATGCAGTGCCCATCTGCAATCTTTTCAGTCTGGTCACACCATACCGTACTCTCTTGGTGCAGACGATGGCCCGCCACGAGCATGTCGCCTGTCACGTGGAGGCAGCCTGCGATCCCATGAGCCAGGAGGTCTACGACTGGCTTTACGCCTTCAACCCTCTCATGGCGGGTCAGATCAGGTTCGCTTACCTGATCAGCCTACCAAATACTCTTTATGCCTGTGGATAGATAACGATTCCCATGTTGAAAAAAGCAGGATCAGTTAGGATTGAGCGTGAAATGTTTTGGCGAATCTCGGCAAATGCGAACCATCAATTAGACAAAAGGAGAAGTTTTATTTTTACTCTAGACACAAAGAGTAGCTTGGTTTTTAATGAATCGCTTGAGGCAACATTGTTGCAGAGACTTTCAGTTTTGTATTGAAGTACATGATGAAGAGATTCATAGGTCGATCCCTACATAATACAACAGTTGATTTCGCTTGCTCTGCAGCCATTTGGCCTCAATTCGACGTTCAGGTTGACGCAGTCCACAATGCATCCTTCTTCATTTCGGACGAAAATGGGCTG